CCAAAAAAAAAAAAACCAGGACAGCACATTTGTGGGGCAGCATCACCCTGGGGCAGCGCATCCCTGGAATATTCCATCCCCAGGGTTCCACATCCCTGGAACATCACATCTTTTGGGTTTCACACCCTGGAATATCACATCTATGGGGTTCCACAACCTTGGAACATCATATTTGTGGGGTTCCATTACACAACCCTGGGGCACCACATCCATGGGGTACAACATTCCCAGGATATCTCATCCCCAGGGTACCCCATCCCTGGAATGTCACATCTGTGGGGTTCCACAACCCTGGAGAACCCCATCCCTGGGGCATCACATCCCTGGAATATCACATCCCCTGGGTACCACATTCCTGGAATATCACATCTTTGGGGCATCACATCCCTGGAATGTCACATCCCTGGAATATCACATCCCCTGGGTACCACATTCCTGGAGAACCCTGTCCCTGGAGTACCCCATTCCCGGGATACCTCATCCCTGGGGTACCACACCCCCAGGATACCTCATTCCCAGGGAACCCCATTCCCGGGATACCTCATTCCCAGGGTACCACACCTCTGGAATATCACATCCCTGGGATATCACATCCCTGGAATATCACATCCCCTGGCTACCACATTCCTGGATCACTCTGTCCCTGGGATACCACATTCCTGGGATACCTCATCACTGGGGTACCCCATTCCCAGGATATTCCAACCCCAGGGTACCCCATTCCCGGGATATCACATCCCCGGGGTACTACATTCCTGGAATATCACATTTGTGGGGTTCCACAACCCTGGAGAACCCTGTCCATAGGGTACCCCATTCCCTGGATACCTCATCCCCAGGGCACCCCATTCCCGGGATACCTCATTCCCAGGGTACCACACCCCTGGAATATCACATCCCTGGGATATCACATCCCCAGGGTACCACATCCCTGGAATATCACATCCCCTGGCTACCACATTCCTGGAGAACCCTGTCCCTGGGGTACCCCATTCCCGGGATACCTCATTCCCAGGGCATCACACCCCTGGAATATCACATCCCCGGGATATCAAATCCATGGAATGTCACATTCCCGGGATATCACATCCCTGCAATGTCACATCCCCAGGGTACCACATTCCTGGAATATCACATTTCTGGGCTCCACAACCCTGGAGAACCCTGTCCCTGGAGAACCCCATTCCTGGGATATCTCATCCCCAGGGTACCCCATTTCCGGGATGCCTCATCCTCAGGGCATCACATCCCTGGAATATTCCATCCCCTGGACTACCCCATTCCCAGGATACCTCATCCCCAGGGTACCCCATTCCTGGAGTGTCCTGCCCATTCCCAGGATACCTCATCCCCAGGGTACCCCATTCCCGGGATGTCCCCCCTATTCCCGGGGTACCACATCCCCAGGGTACCTCATCCTCGGGATATCATATCCCCAAAATACCTCATCCCCAGGGTACCACATTCCCGGGTGTCCCCCTCATCCCTGGGGTACCCCATTCCCAGGATACCTCATCCCCGGCGTGTCCCCCCCATTCCCTGGATACCTCATTCCCAGGGTACCCCATTCCCGCGGTGTCCCCCCCCATCCCAGGATCCCACACCCCACCCCTCCACCTCACCCAGGTCGGCGATGCAGCACTGCCGGTTGCTTTTCACCAGGATATTCCTGCTTTTCAGGTCGCGGTGGGCGATGGCCGGCTTGCCCTGCGTGCCGAAAATCTCCACGTGGAGGTGGACGAGCCCGCAGATGATGGAGGAAGCCAAACCCAGGCACGTTTCCACATCCAGCGCCGTCCTCTGCAGGAAATCGTAGAGCGAGCCGTTCTCGTGGTAGTGGGTGATGAGCCACAATTGCGTGCTGGAATTCCTGGAGGTCATATCAGAGGCGATAAAACCTGGAAAAAATGAAAAAGAAAAAAAAAAATGGGATTATGGATCTACCAAGGAGCTGCCCCCGACTTTTCAGCCCTTCAGGGTCGCCCGATAAAACCTGGAAAAAATGACAAAAAAATGGGATTATGGATCCGCCCCCGATCTTTCAGCCCCTCATGGTCGCCTGATAAAACCTGGAAAAAATTAAAAAAAAAAAAATAAAAATGGGATTATGGATCCACCACAGAGCTGCCCCTGATTTTTCAGCCCTCACGGTCGCCCGATAAAACCTGCAAAAAATGAAAAAAAAAAAAAAAATGGGATTATGGATCCG